AATTCACACACAGCAACTGCTGCGACGCAACGACACCCTCCCACAGCGCTAACCCAAATTTCAGCGTCACGTTGGGACGATGCGCTACTCCCGATTTCGCGCGAACGTAAATAGTGAGATCACCCAGGGCTCGAATTTCCCTATTGCTAACTCGCACAATGAGTGTCAATATTGAGAAATTGCGAGTAGAAAATATAAGCACTTGCTATTTTCTGCGAGTGGACATTTATAGCATACACCGCATACATTATCACTGTCGATCACGGAAAGAATATATTTCATGATTAATGGTCAAACTGGTCAGTTAAATTGCCTAAACAAGCTTTAATTCGCCGTTATTTACCGTACGCTGTTTACACTTTCATAATGCCGATCACTTCCAAAAAAAATTGCACGTTAGAATTCATTTTAGCACGTAGATTTTTTAGGCACTCGCAATTTTTCGCAAGTTGCTAAAATTGGACGTTAGAATTCATTTTAGTACGTAGATTTTTTAGGCACCTCGCGATTTTTCGCAAGTTGCTAAAATTGCAAAATTCGTCCCCTGTCAGGCCATCCTTAAAAAATTATATGTTTGCTGTCCTCCGACCGACCCACGAAAATAGCCACTTAAAATAACTATTATGCCTCACAAAAAAAAGACCTACCTACCTACCCACTAAAAAAATCATGGGTCGGGGGACAGCAAACATAGAATTTTGTAAGGATGGCCCTGTCACCTTGCACGAGCTCTCCTGCACGATGGTCTGCACGAGCGAGTTGCTGAACTCCTGCCCCACAAGCTGCTTTGCCTTGCTCATCGTGTTCGCTGCGTTTCTCATGATGCCCTGCTTCGCCGGAAGTCCGACGACCTACGACACGGAAAAAATTAACACTGGTTCGTCTGCCCTCAGCTACCGCAGGTAGACCTCTCTGACACAATATATGACACAGTATTTCAGGGGTAGAAATTAACTTTTGAACAAGGGAGTACAACGGACTCCATACCATCAAAAACAGGGAGTCCGCAGCAAAACGAGGGAGTTTGCAGTCTGAGATTTGCATTTTTAAGATTCATGCGGTTGCACGTCTGCCCAATTTTCTTTGGACATTAGCTGAAAAAATACCGTAATTCCACAAGGCCATGCTCTGGAACGAACTAGTTAGTATAGCAGAATTTTCATGGAGTCACATGGACTCCTGCATATGTCAAATCAGGGAGTCCGGCAGTAAATCAGGGAGTATTTGACTCCGGACTCCCGTTAATTTCGTACCCTGGTATTTGACACAATATCCGACAACCTACAACACAGAAAAAATTTACCACGGATTCGTCTGCTGTCAGTTTCCGCAGGTAGACCTCTCTCGAGAGTTGCTACTCAGTGTTTTTTCCATTATTGAGACAAAAATTCATTGGCACCCTGCAGGGAGTTAGTGCTTAATGTAATTACGTCATAAAGAGTAAATACGTAAATCGCAAAAGTAAAAAAAATTATGTCCACTTGTTCACAAAATGTAAGTGATTCTGTTCACTTTTTATGGTTAAATTGCTGCATTATACTTCCTATTTTGCTATTCCGTTCGATGTTAACAAACACTCGTTACTCATACATAGCCCATAGCAAGCATTTAATGTCGTGATCAATATGTATATCAAATTGCCAAGGTTTTTTGGATTTTTAACTAGTTGAGAAACAATCTTATCAGGTAAGAATTTGAGGATACATTTAGTCCCATTAGTACTTACTTTTAATGTAAAAAAATTGCAACAAACATTTTACAAATATAAACCATAGAATATTCGTGAAGTAGTCAATTTAATTAACAGGGGTTCGTATCCTGTCATCTCTTGCAGGTAGACCTCTCTGGAGAGTTGCTCATATGGATTAGTGAGGACAGAAATTTATTGGCACCCTGCAGGGAGTTAGTGCTTGACGGGAAATGATACGCACCAGTTCTCCACTCTCGAATGCAACGAGTGTTGGCGTGACTCGATCTCCGCCTGCGTTAGCAACCACTGTCGTCCTGCCATCCTGTTATTACATATATACAAAACATGTCACTATTATACTGGTCATTTGTAATATTGCCATTCTAAAACAGTAAAACTGATTGAGCCACCTGATGTTGCAATCATGTTGCAAAAATTAGTTACAGTATGATTATTAATATAAATTATAATAACAAATCAGAGTGTCTAAATTCACTTTGTAAGCTACTTTGAATAATGCATTAAATTCTATTATTGGCACAGAATCAAGGGCCAAGGCTCACGATGAGCACAGGAAGCAACAATTAACGAGATAGAATTACCTTGTAAACTGCGAGTGATGCCGTGGTAGCACCAACGTGTACGCCAAAGGCTGCTGCCATGATATTTATCAGATATTCCGAGAGAGATGTACTGAGATGAGTCGATCAACTGTTTAAAATCATAGTTATATCGAAATTATTTTACCGGTATATCTGTGTTACTTATAGTGCAAACCATGTCATGTGTTAGTGTTGTTAGTTGTTCCGTATTCACGGAGTATTGGAATTTTCTTCCAGATTTTAGACTTTACTCTTTGGTACTTCAATTGCAAATTTGAGGCTTTTTCTACAGCAATTCAGTGTTGATCTCTCTATTTGATCTTTTTGGCTCTTTCCGTTTTCAATATAGTCCACTGGACTTTGAAGACTAATATATATAAGGTTAATGAGGGTAGTATTACTGTTAGTGTTACTAACATTAGTAACATGTCGTAATGTTCACTGTCTGGTCGATTCTGAATTCATTCGACCAGTGCTCTGCCCAGTAAAATAAGAATTACTACGCTTTTTACAGTATTTCGTTATATACCAGCAATACGTAATACTTCATAGTATATAAATCTTACGTTTGCACGTTCAAGAAGATTCAGTTACGTCAATGGTACTTCAAGATAATAACAGATTGCACTCTACTATCTATGATTCCACACATGATCTTTGCAACAGTAAGCTGACATCTTGGAGTGAGAGGTCACTACTTATCCGCATCCGTTTCCGGAAACCGTTTACATCGTCATCATCATCGTCATCGCTACTTTTTAGCATTGACCAAACTATCTTTGATTGATAGCGTTAACCAACGTTTATCGTAAGAGAGAAAAATCAAATAAATGTTTAAGAACTTTATCTTATTTTTAGCATATTCTTTGCGCATTTCCCTCGTAATTATTTAGCAGCATGTTTTATTTCTATGCACATTGTTCGTTGCTTTGATATATTATTACGAACGCACGCACGCACGCGCGCGCCCGCGCCCACACACATCCCCCCACACACACACACACACACACACACACACACACACACACACACACACACAC